TTTGGCTATCTTTACGTTTATTTCAACAATGCATCCAGTACCAACTTTTATTTAACCCAAGAGGCAATTTGCTCAGCAGAACTATTAATTCCGTTTTGGACTAATTTAATTGGGATTTAATTTCGAATTGTTGCCAACAAATATTATCACCCTGTATTACATTTAAAGAAATTAAATAATGAAGAATCTGCATAAATGTATGTATGTTGCTCGCATTGCGATAAAACAGCGGTACCTAGAGCCGTCCAATTTTGAATAACGTAATCCTCCTGCGAATATGGGCATCTGGAAGCCCAATTTGAAATTTGGAATTTGTTTTATTATCGATTTTCCTATTTTGGAAAACCTTAACGAATTTTTGATCAACAAACTCAAGGATTTCAAAGCGAGCAATGGCAACGTTGTGCAGAAAAAACATTTTAATCTCCAGCGCGTGAGTCTCTGTATCGGAAATTCTAAAGATAGGCTCGTTTAAAACTATTTTGCGATATTGCTGTTGCACTGGATCTTATGGTTTAAGTGCGAGGAACATGATATTTAATAAATAAAGGTAACACACAAAATGTTAAAAAAAACGACCCTTCGGACGAAATTTAAAATCAGAAAACATTTAAGATTTTATTATTATTATTATTATTATTATTTACATTCTTCTTTTCCCATACAAAACAGGCATATTGCTTGTTTTTCGCGCTTTTACTCTCTTCACGTTACGCAGCGATTTGTCTTAGATAAAAAACGTCAGATAAACTCGGCCTCGTGCACAACCTTACTACCAAAATCCAAACATGAGAAAGAAGACAAAAAAAGACTTTAGACAGAGATCCGAGATTTTGCAGCAGACAATGAGAACTGCAGTAAGCGGTCCACCGCCATGCTAAAGTGCTAAAATTCCTATAAGGAAGATCATAATCTTCAGCTTCACTGGCGAAAATATCTGCAAAAGTAGGAATTACGACATTAATACTTTTGGCGCCATATTGCATTGTCACATTAATACTTTTTTAAGTCTTTTCGATGGGGAATGCGGATATTATTCAGAAACTTCCCTTGTCTGTTTCATTACAATTTTTTTATCTATTTTAGGAATCCATTTTGCATAGCTTATAGAAACAGATTTGATATGATAACAGATTAAATTATGAGAAAATTTCTACAAAAATTGATACTGTTGTTCAGATGTTTAACATTAATAAATACCTACTAAGGTCGTTCGCACATTTCTTAGACGATTTACAGAACTATTTTACCTAAAAATTTTATGTTTTAAATATTTTATTTGTTAACCCTTATTCTTCACTATCTTTATACATCGTGATTGAGACAATAAAGCTTTCGTAAGATCGGAAGAGGTATTTTACCCCACTGGCTCTCAAACGGCTTTGAGGACATTGTAGGTCGAAGTTTGGACAGCTTGCTTTTTGAAAGTCCAAAAGCGCAGAAATATACTGATGATAGATCAGGAATTTGGTAGGGATATGACTGAAGGTCATACTCGACTTATTACTCATTTCTTGTTCCATATTTTTCCAGGAAATAACAATACTGCTCCAAAAAAGAGGGAAACATTTATATATCTCCGGTTCCACTAGGCCGATTGACGAAATTCAAATTGCTTGTACCATGTCTGGAAAGCGCGGCTTAGGATATATATTAAATTTATATATAACATTGCTCTAACATAGGCATTTTGACAAAAAAATCGGACTTTTACTGAAATAATATAGCAATGTTTTTCCATATTTCGATTCTACGACTCAAATTTTGCCTATATTAAATTTTGTAATTTTTGGTGAGAAATTTATTCAGAAATTTAAAAATTGATCTTGGCGCATTTTTTCCAGTTTTTGCCAAGGAAAAAACTTGGCGAAATTTTTAATTTACAGCAACCTATTTTCCTTACATTTTTTCCGTTGTGCACGAGAGGGAAAAGTCATCGTTCATACTTTCAAATAATTTTAACGCAAACCACATTTGCGCAAGCCACATTTTCATTATTATAGCTTATAATAATTACGCCAAATTTCAAAACGCGCCAAAATGTAAATTCACGTATATCTTAGGAAATTTTGAATAAAAAACTTTAATTTTTTGCTATGCTTAGTAATGCATCTACTTTAAAATTGTGAAAAAACAATTGTGGGTTATATATCAAGATTTTTTCCAAAAATTTATAAAAATTATTTTAAAACACAAATTTTAAAAATAAATCATAAAAAATGGGTGAATTTTATTTGGAATGAATTTAAATTTCGAAATATGAAAGAAAGAATCAAATAAGTTTTAATAAAAAAGTGATATTAATAAATCTCTGTCAAATTCAATTAACATGAAGGAGTTAAAATTTTGAGAGCAAATTTTTTAAAAACTACTCCTGCGATTTTTACAAAACTTGGCGGTTTGGTATAATTTGAGTCCTACAATCGAAATATGGAAAAAAAAATAGCATTTAATTTCAGAAAAAGTCCGATTTTGTGTCAAATTACCTACATTAGAACAACGATATATATGAATCTAATGCATATCGTTAAGTCACGCTTTCGAGACATGTAAAACGCAAGTTGAATTTCGTCAATCGGCCCAGTACAACGAGAGATATAGAACTGTCCCCGCTTTTTCTCCTTTCTCCCGGCAGTGTACATTTTGACTTGTCACTTCAGATTATGTCTTGATGCAGTTCTACTGATTGATCACACTGTGTGCAAAGAGAAGTTATTTCATATTTTAAAATTGGATATAAAAGTGTTTCTGGTAATATGTCGAGTTGATCTTAACATTTTTCTTCTCTCTCTTTATTTTTAATTTGCCGTTATATGAAAAACATGCAACAATCATAAATCCCTTAGAAAAACTTTCTTTAGATGCCTTGAATTATGTTTGAAGATTTTTTTCTCCTCTTTGATGATAATAAATGGATCTCTTTTATTGCAGTCATTTAAGTGCACCCAAGATTCGTATAGTGTGACAACATTTTCCCATTTTTGTCCGGGAAGATGTTTCCCATAAAAAATTCTGCAGCGAGTTCTGCGTTTTGCGATATGGCATTTGAAACATTCCCTTTTTTTTCTTTTTTTCTTTTTTTTTTTTTTTTACCTGAGGATATACACTTATGTCCATAAATTAAGGATAATGCAAACTCAGGCAAAGGAAGAGTTAGAAGCAAAACAAATTTGACTTATTTGTAAAGCTTATTTATTAAACAAAAGGTAAAGAACAAAAACAGATGCTATATGTTTGATATTATTAAAAAAATTAGCGATTTTTTTCTCCCTGGAGCAAATTACAAAAAAAAAAAAAAAAAAAAAAAAACCTATTTACGAAAAACCAATATTACATGGTTGGTTTGATTGTTAATACATTGTATGTCTCCCAGACGATGCAATACAGTCCGTACAACGCTTAGACATGCTGAGTATCAAATTATCGATATGATCTTGGGGGATATTACACCTCTCAAAAAGCAATGGTCTCCGACGTACCGGTAGATATGTAGGAGGAGGTTGACGGGCTGCAACTCGTCGGCCAAGCATGTCCTACACGTGCTCTACTGAATTCAAGTCCGGTGAGAATGCTGGCCAATGTATACGGGTGATATCCTCCGATTGAAGGCATTCGCTTACGATGTTTGCACGGTGAGGACGGGCGTTGTCATCCATAAACACAAATTGTGCGCCCATGGCGTCCCGAAACAAACGTACATGTTGTTACAGAATGACGTCCCGATAGATTTGTCTTGTTATGGTTCCAATTTGAACATGCATTATTCTGGAACCCAGAATAATTCTACTCCAAACGAGCACCCCTGCACCACGGTAACGGTGTCGTTCAATGATGTTTTCTTGGTGGTAACGGGTACCTGGAGCTCTCCATATCAAAGTCCGGCGAGAATCAGACTGCAAGCTAAACTGAACTCGTCGGAAAACATCACACAAGCCCACTGTTGCGGTGTCCACAATGCATGCTCTCTACTCCAGGCTAACCGCAGGCGACAGTGAGTTGCAGTAAGTGGAACGCATCTGACAGGTCTACGAGCATATAGACCAATCTGCCCTAAGCGTCTGTACACGGTCTGCCTTGAAATTATCGTACCAGTGGTTGAAGAGAGCTGACGAGACAGGTCTGAGGCTGCGCTCCGCCTGTTGCTTTTGGCAATAACTGCCAAATACCGGTCTTCATTCGGCGTTGTAACTCGGGGGCGACCTGTGCTGTAACGTCTACTCACATTACCATCATCTTGGAATCGTTGCCAAAGCCTGGAGATGACACTGCAATTCCAAGTTCGTCTGATACTTCCAGTTGGGTACGCCCACATTCCAGACGGCCGATAATTCTACCACGTAAAAAATCATCCAAATGCGTCCTTTGTGTCATAACTATTGGGTTATTGCACTGAAATGCTTATAAAGCGCCTGCGAACAATTTTACTCTTTTGCCTGTATTCCTTATATATCACTCTCTTACACTCTCGTCATTGTGACGTACCATCGGTGACATATGGTTACTTCCTGAAATTTGCATATGATTCTTGAAGATGTGTGTAGTGATTTTACAGGTGATATATTTATTTTTAGAGTTCGATTTTCGCGTGACTCCGAATTATCCTTAATTTATGGACATGAGTATATTTGGAACAATTTTTCCATTTGAAGCTAAATTTTGACCAGTTTTACCTTTGTTGTTGACAACATTACCTATCGTTGCTTTAGATATCGAAAAACTACAGCTTTCACGATGTTTTCTCGATTTTTTACGAATAATTTTTATGCGGAAAGAACACAAATAGCGCTTGCCATCCATTGCTTCTTTAAAAGCGACATTTTGCATGAAAACAAAACTGTCAAGTAGCAGACGACAGTTCATACTTTCAAAAATATATTTCCAGTTAAAAAAATATTCCAAGCAAATTTTTTTTTACCGTTAACCAAAATCTTCTAAAGATTGTGCAAATAACCTCTGTATAAACCTATCAAGTTTGTTGCAATATATTTCATTTATTATAGGAATATACGATGCATATATTGTATAGACAGATGTGGTACGACAGCAGATTAAAATATGACCAAAATTCTTCCGTTCAAATTGTGGGGGATAACTGGCATGCCGCCCGTATATGGACACCTACCATCCACGTTGTTAATGACAAAGATATTGGGTCGTTTGCTGGAGGCGCTGAAGGAACTGTACTACTGCACATCGATCCAGATGGTTCTGTGATGCTGAGTAAAAGGTAAACAAGCTTCCAATCCTTTGTGAAACATATTAAATTACAAATTTTCAGAGGGATTCTTATTTTTTTATTTGGATTAATGAAGCAAATATGTATTTGTAAGTTATTCATGTATATTCTTAATAAAAAGCTTTGTGGAGGTTGATAAAGATCTGCAGAAATTCCTATAGAATTTTATAGATAAATGTTCATCTATAAAATTCTACAGAAATTTTATAAAACCTTCACAGAATAGAACTCTGTCAAAGTGATGTTTTGAAAATTGATATAAAAAATAAATCCTGGCTAATCTTTGGAATATGGTAACAGGTAGTTTGGCGACATTTTGGTAAGGCGATAAAGGTTACTAGCTAGAACTTTAGCAGTGTACATGGATAAAGTCAAGAGTGTGCGCAATGCCATTTTTGTGCAATTCTGGGATGTTTTTTTAAGTGAAAATAGGTCAACGTGTACATGGATACCGTGTATGTGCAATTCTTAAAACCGCGGCAAGCAGTGGCGTGACGGCAGTGGGCGATTCTGCACTTTCTCCCACTTTCGCCCCTAATCTTCGTCATGATTAAGCACTTTTATTCCATAAAAGTTCTAGCATAAGCGTAATTCGGCTAGCAGATTGTTGGAAAAAATATTGAGTAAAAAAAAATAAACATGCCTTTACTTCGTAAAAACAAAATGGCATCCAAAAAAAAAAAAAAAAAAAAAACTAGCAGGTTGCTGTAGCAGGGTTGGTCGCCAAATTTTCGCCAAAAATTCGTGAAGTTGCCATAATCCAAAGATTAACCTAAATCCTTTATAAAATTTTTGCACCATTTTGCCCAATAAATATGCATAAAATGCATAGAATTCTATAAGCATAAATTCTATCATTGCATAGAATCAACTTGCATAGAACTCTATAAAACTCCAATATCGTTTTGCATAGATCTTAAGATTAAAGAGGTTATCACATCTATCGATGGTCCCTGCTAGACGGCACTTTTCTTAACGAGATTCTGGTAGCACTGGTTTAATGGGAGAATTCCTAGAAAAAAAGAGCTCCGCTGGAAGCAAAGTCCCGCCTAGCTACGGAAACGGTGTACCGGCTACGCGGGATTTTTTGAAACCTCGCCGAAAATGTTTCGGCTGCAACTCTGTCCCGAGTACAGATTCATTTCTTCAAACAGATAAAGTCTTTTCCAGAAAACTGCAGTGTTCTCTTCCATTAAAGACTGAATTCACAATTTGGAAACTAAATTTCTGGCGCATTAGACGCAAGTATTGTTGTCCCTCAGAGTTTGTACATATAGACCGGATTCAAAACGTTCTAGTTAAATGTGATTCAGAACGTTATACAGAACTTATACAGATTCAGCATGTTATACAGAAGTGTTAACAGTACAAGTATTTGACGTGCTATTGCTCGTTATAAACCTGTAATCTATAGACGACATTTCAGAACGTCTGCCCGAACGTTAAGACAACGTTCTGCTAGCACGTTATAGAAACTGTCATAGAACGTTCTATGAACGTTATATAAAATTGTTAATAGTTTTATTGTCCATTAATGAGCTACGACTTACAGACCTAATTCAGAACATTTTGCATGAACTTTGAAGGAATGTTCCACTAGATGGTTACCGGAACTTCCATAGAACACTCTAGGGACATTGTAACGGGCAGTCAAAAAATGGTGTTACTAACAATACAAAATTGTTAGTAACACCATTTTTTGACGTTTTACTGCCCGTTATTGAACTGTAACATTTTGACGTGATTCACCGCGTTCTGCCAGAACGTTAAAGGAACGTTATGTTAGAACGTTAGAAGAACATTCATAGAACGTTATAAAAGAGTGATAGTAGTACCACTTTTGACGTGCTACTGTCCGTTATTGAGCTGCAATACATAGAGGTGGTTCAGAACGTTCAGGTAACACGTGCCAGAAACGTTGTACTAGAACGTTAATGACACGCTGCATGAAAGTGTTATAAACACAAGTATTTGACGTGTTACTGTCCATCTTAGAACTGTAACATATAGACGTGTTTTTGAACGTTCTGCTTGAACGTTCCCGATTCATTTGTGAAGCACTTGCACTGAACGTTCCTGTGCTAGTTGCGTATGTGGGTTTTCTGGAAATGTTCGGTTTCTGAGAATTGTTCCTTTTGACTTTATTCCATAACAAACCTACACAATTTCAAAACTATATATTAAAGCAAATTTTGAATTTCTGTTGTAATATAATATATGAGAAGACATAACTCGGTTAACACATCAACTCATCCCAAAAGTTAAACCTTCAAGATTAGCAAGTGACATCTTTCTAAACCAAGTATTAGCAGGACACGGGGTTTCCCCAACTAGTATACATGTATAATATAAAGCGAGCGCGCTTTTTACATGGACTTAGAACAGCTGATGGGTTGCACATTATGTCCGAAGGCGCCAAATTAAAGGATATGAGAAAACGTTTCTTTAAAATGAGACTTTTCTTGGAAAGCATCAAAAGTTATCTTCATAATACATAAATAAGTATACGCAATATATCTACGAAAAGAAAATTGACATTCATCTTTTCATAAGTTTCATGTTTAATGTACACCTTGCACACACATCCATGTCTCGAAAGCGCGACTTCTGATATATATATTAGATTTATATATAGCATTGTTATAACATAACATAGGCATTCTGACACAAAATCGAACTTTTCTGAAATGACATACTGATTCTAATTCAGAAGTCAAACAACAAAAATCAGCGTTATATTTACAAAATTTTCACAGGACTAGTTTCGATGGTTTTACCGAACCACCATCTTCAGCTGCAAAACCGCAAATGAACCAGATAGGAAAAAAATTTCCCAATATTTTCTTATTTATTTTTTTAAAGATGTATTTTTTAGTAATTTTCGTAAGTTCTTCGAAAAAACTTTTGAATTTTTACCATCACCTTAAAGTAGATCTATTGTTAGATCCACCTACTTGCAATCGACTCTGTAGAACAAGAAATATACAACTGTCCCCCCCTTGTTTTGCGCAGAGTGTACTTGTTATTGTACAACTTCTGGATAAAATTGTATTTTCCTGCTCCTCATGTGTAAATATGTATCACTAAAGCAAGAACAAGCATATTATTTTGAATTCTTCATGCTTTAATTTGTAAAATTATGTGTTATGAATTTTGTACATTTTGTTTAAATTATTTAATAATAATAAAGAGTGGGGTGAGATCAATCAATCTATCCAAATAGAGTTACTTCTAATTAATTCGGCCAAAATTAATTACTCAGAACTCTAATTTACTTTTTTCTTTAAGTCGTATTGGCTTTTGGTGATACCTCTGCTAAAAGGTGACGACAGTTCTATCCATTTCTTGTTGCAATATGTGGGAAACAGAAGGGCAAAAGTAAACACATCTCATGAAATTGTAGAGGCATTAGGTTATTTTGAAAGCAGAAGACATCAAAAAGGAACAATGCCTTCGCCAGGACTCGAACCACGGGCCTCTCTAATAAGCGCCGAGTGTGCCGCCCCCTACACCGCGAAGGCATGCTAAGAAGGCGGGAGAAATATCTTATAAAATGCTGAATCATTGAACAGAAATTTTTGCTTTTCCTCTTATAGATAACACTTTTCAGCTTATAAAGTTATATAATACTTTGTGTAATTCTTATTTACAGTATTACTTATGTGATACAAAAGTAAAATCTTGTAAACGCGTAAAAGGAATTTAAATCCTAAAATTCATTGAAACAGTCTGTTACAATAAAAGACTCCACTTTTTAAATAGAAAACTAAATTTATGCTGTTAATTATAAAATTTTAATTACTGAAATAAATACTCCTAATAATTGTATATGAACCTCTGATAATAAAACTGGTTTCTTTTATTTAAATCATCTAGTATTAAAAATGTGTTTACTTTTATTGAAATATTTTTTGAAATGAAAACACTACTGAACATTTTTATTATAAAAGAGTTCACCTAATTTTCTATAAGATTTTATTGTCCACCACCTTTTTTAGTTGCGAACTACTCTAAAGTCGTTAGGTTCCTTTGAAGCAGGAGACGTGAAAAAGGCGAGTTCCCTCGTCGGAACTCGAACTTGGACTTCTCCTATATGCGCCGAGCGTGCTACCGTTACACCACGAAGGTATGCTGAAAAGAGGGAGAAAATACATTATAAATTGTAAATTAGCCCTTTTTACTTCCTTGTACGAAGTAAAAAGGAAGTATTGTAACCGCGAAAAGTTTCAGGCAGCATATTTCAACGAAAATATCCATTTTGACCGCTATCGAATGCAACTGAACGATGTTTTTGCGTGATATCTGTACGTAAGGACAGAATAAAAGACTTCAAAAAAATTATAAAACTGCTTTAAAGTGAATTCTGAAGAGAATTTTTCGTGGCGTCTGTACGAACGTATATATGTACGTACGTATCTCGCATAACTCAAAAACAAGTAGCCTCAGAACGTTGAAATTTTGTATATAGGGCTGCTATAACATGTAGATGTGCACCTCGTATTTTGGTTGCAGTCAGCCGCACCAAACGTATATAAATATATTTATATATATATCCACTCTGTTGCCCGGCTCAGTGATCTCAGTTTCTTTACTCTTATATGTTTGTAAATTGTACATTTTTTGCTTTAAAAATGATTGAATTATGTTGTTTTTATCTTCCGGTTAAGGTTTTTATGCCTTTAGTAAATCCGTATGCAATATTTTTAGAATTATCACAATTTTAAAGTTGTTTAAGTGCCTCTAAGACTAATAATTTTTTTGATGGCGGCCACAGCAGACTAGTGGATTTGTTGCCAATCTAGAGAAACTTAGCTTCGCAACAGCAAAGATAACGCCTTCATTTATTATTGCCAATTAAATCATGCTTAATCCTTTCTGGAAGTTTTTCGAGGAAATAAGTGTTTAAGATTTACTTCGTAATTTTTAATGCAGATATTTTGAGTTTTTATGTGTTTTTGCCTTTTCCATTTCTCTGAAGATAAAATTTATTC